CCAGACAATGGTGTCTGGTATGGGAAAAAAGAGGGAAGCCTAAAGCTGATTCTCCACCTGCTCACTCACTATGCCTGGTGTGATTTTGAGGAATTAGTACATTCACTGGATCAGTGTTTGAAATTAGTACTTATTGACTTCTTCAGCTTGCTATTAGAGACTGAAAAAGATCCTAATTTCTTAGGATCTTTCTTCTTTCAATGCATAATTGTGGTTATACATAGAAAGGATTTTGTTTTTTTTCAATCCTTTATGAAAATATTATTTATTTTTCTAATGTAGGCCATACCTTCAGTTCATGCTTGGAAATAAAGTTGTTGTCTTGTCTTCCAAGCAAAGAAAGGCTGAAGCTGATGTTTGAGGGAATGAAGAGAAGTGCTCATTTCCTTTCCATCAGTGCAAGACTTCTGTCATGCAGATTACAGCAGATGTTACTGACCCAGCAAATATTTTTACTTTACTTTGAATAGTGAAAGGACAAATGTGTTCAGAGATGCTCAGCTTAAGTTTAACTTCGTAAATGGATCTGAGGAGTTTCCCTTTTATATTGTTATTTCCATACTTTGTTGTTTTGTTCTTTGTTTTTTTTCCTGTTCGTTGTTTTTTTTTTAATATGCATTGTGTTTATCTTAAGAGGTTTTGCAGAGAAAAAAGTCAATGCTGAGGTACTACATATTATCTTAACACATGCTCATGGATTGTAGAAGCATTATTACACTAAATACTGCTACCTGAAGCATCTATTTTAAGAATGGAGTAACAAAAACTCTTAAGTTGCAAGATGTGCAGTTGTGTCTTTGAGATGTGGGAAGACAAGATGGGGAGATGTCTTACTTGTTTTCTTTATGTACTGCCTTTCTATTGACAAGTTGAAAAAATGCAACATTAGATAAACCGTAGAAAATTTAAAGGGGTTTTGAAGATGTTGATAAGGTCTTCTTGCAAGTTTTGGAGGCTTCTCTGTATTGATGTGGAGACTTCAAAAAACTAGCAGTGTTAGAAAGAAGAAAATAAAAAGTTGCCAGTCAGGGATAATGGATGAAATAGAAGTAAACAGTGCTTATAGACCAGTTGTTATGCATAGAACCAGCAACTGCCAAACTTGTCATACTCGCAGCATGGGGGTAGGATATTGCATGGCTAAAGGGTTTTGCAGAAATACAGCTAAAAGTTCTAAAAATACTATGTTAATTATTGAAATAATTGTTAGAGTAGGAGCAAATTCTTGAGTTTTAGTAGGACTGAGTAAAGTAAATTGTGTAAAAAGAACACTTGCCCTATGTCTGGTTACTTTACCAAAGTAAATTGAGACCATATCAAATTCAGATTGTAGAAAAAAGATACTGTGCTCAGAGGGTGCTCCTGGTTCCAGCTGTGTGAAATACATGAAGAATGATCAGCTTTTCATTGTTGATGACAACAAGCACTGCTATCATATGCCAAATGCAGAGGGTATCTGCCCTTTCTAGTATCACTTTGTGTTGTGGTCAGATTTCAACAACTTTTGGGTTTTCTGTGATATTCCTGGGTACTTTTAAAAGCAGTATTTCCTAGGAGGTGACTAGAGGAAAAATAAGTATTTCTTTCTCTTAGAGTAAGTTTGATTGAGAAGCGCTAAAACCAACTTTGATTGGAAAGGACAGTGACTCCTTGATGTCACACTGCTTTTCTGTTTGGTCTTCTATTTTCTCTCCAGCTGTCTTCATTGATATTTGCTGCTAGTTTGGCTATGTCATAAATCCTCAAAGAGTTTTCATAACCTCATATTACAGGCTGTTGGTTGGTACCAGTGCACAGAAGCTGCACTTACCTGTGTTGAGTGTGAGCTGAACTCTCAGGTTGCACATCATAGATGTAAAAAATGGCTTTAGGTCATCTTGGACTTCTATCTTCTTTTAGTCAGAGGGATAAGGTGTGCCCTTTTGTCAGGCACTAGACCTTAGGCCAGAGACTCATCTTTTGGCTCAGATGGTAATATCTGAAGAATGACTTCAAATTTCATTCCTGAACACAGTCATCCCAGAATAAAGGAGAAATGTAAATTACGGTGTCTGGGCAATAACAAAGATGATAGACTTATTTAAAAAGAAACGACTTTTTTTTTTTTTTTTAATCGGTGATCTTAGAGCTTTAGAACTGCTTGGGAAGCCACTGGTGCCTCGTTTCTCTTTTCACTCATTTGCATAGTTAAAGCAGTTTGCTGCTGGCTATTAATTCATTGATTCAGATGATGGATCCAAAAACACAAGCTCTGCAGCTGGTTTATGTGGGCTGTGACATTTTGCTTGAGGGAGATGTACATTAAAGCAACATTGAGTACGCAGAGTGGATGCACTGAAAGTCATCTAAGGCCAAACTTATAATTGTATGGCTTGCCTTCATTTGTGCTGAGTTAGATTGGAGATAGCTGACAACTACAAGAACATGAAAATATTAGAAGGCTTGATATGCAGTGATAACTGGAATGCATCATGGGTGAATGTAAAGTGATACACGTGGACTGCTGTGCTGTAGGCTCAGTGACAAGCTGTGAACATTTTTTAGAGCTCAGGAGTGAGGTCTTGTGTACAGTTCACAGTGTCATCAGCTCAGTGCTTGAAAGGAATCACATAAGTTGCATGTTGGGAATTGGTAAGAGGATGGGAGAGTAGGAAGTAGCACATGGTCATACTTTGGATCGGTGTTTTGCTTCTTGGATACTGTGTAGCTCTTGCCCTGGCTTCTTCAGAAGAGTACAGAGCTAGAGCAGAATTGTGTAAGAGCATCAGGAGCAATCAGAGACATGAAATGGCTTCTTTTGAATGCAGTATGTTAGATGATTGGGGCTGTTTTCCAATGAAGATACACTGTGCTAACAGGAGGTAATTTTGAAATTATAAAGTCATCCTTTTAACAATGTACAGAGGGAGTCCTTCCTACAGGGACTTTTGTGGATGCTGTTTTTGTGGTTATAAGAAGAGTGTGTGGGGAAGAGAAATTGTTCAAATGCTGTTTAAGTGAAGAAATACCCCATCCTAAATGCTTGGGAGGTGGGTCTTTGGTGACTGTGGAGGTGTTAAGAGAAACACTGCTCTGTTTATTCTGCTGTATGTGCTACCTTGGATGTATGTTTCCAGCCACTGGTGAAGGCAGGAGCTTTGGTGTGACCCATGTGGCTGTTCTTGCTGGATGATAGGATTTGAAATAGTACTGCTTTTGTCCAGGGAAGGAGGCCCCTGTGTGCACTTGGTGAACTAGTGCTGATGATGTCAACTTCTTTCACAGTTGAAAGCAGTGATGTGCAACATGATACCTGATAGTAATGTAGTACTTAATGTGGTTGATATTAAAATCTTGGAGTACTGGGACTGCTGTGGGATCTGCAGTATTAGTTATGTTCCAGCCTGCACGGCTTGCTCTGGTTCTGCTGCATATGCATCTGTCTTCCTCCCAAAACAAAGGGAGCTTCCTCCCAGAGCATCTTGTGCCACCTTTCTGCAAGGCACAGAGAAGGGCTGGCATTGATCGGCAGTGCTTTGCATTTTTGTCCTCTCAGAAGAGTACAGAGCAGCGTACCCAGTGTGCTGAGCTGGTGTGGCTCTGGATGCTGATAGAACATGAAGGGGGTTGTAGAAACAGAAAGCTTATATTACATTGGGTAGAAAAGCCAAAGGAGACTTCAGTGCCACTTTGAACTGCAGTTTCCATCACAGTGTAAAGTTTCTAAAAATAAATACAGACTCTGGAACTATGGGATTGATTAAAAATTAGATATTAAGGTGCAGAAGCATCTTAACTGCTGGCCTAGAATTTGCGATTAAGATTTTTTTTTTTACTTACTTTTTTGGTATCAATATATTGAAATACTCAAGCATGGGAAGACGTTTAGTGACAAACAGGACCTTTGTGATACAGCTTTTAGTGAAGGTATTGTAAGTGGTGTGTTGGAGAGCTGTTGTAGACCTCTTGTCGCGCACAGAGTTAGATGTTGTTGAACAGACACTTAGCTTGTGCTCCCTGCTTTGTTCTTTATTTTCTGGCTGTTGAACCATGACAGTTGTGCCCAAGGTTGCAGCAGTGCTCTAATGCTCAGTGTTGCAAATGAAGTGAATTGACACTGTTCACTGAATGTGTAAAGTGACTTAGAAATACAGAATCCTGGGAGACATTTGGGGGATGATGGCTTTGATCCTTGTACCTTTTCCACACTAATAAAGATGCTGTGCAGTAGTGTGGTGAAATGAGATTGCATATTCTAGTGAGCACCTCAGAAGAAGAAACACCCCTGAACCCAGTACAGGTTTAGGTAGCATATGGCAAACAAAAAACATGCTGAATAACTGAAGTAAAAAGAGCTAGTGTATAGCCATCTGTATTGATCATTAAGTGGCTGGAGTTCATGAAATCAGGTTGTTTTATGTATAATCCAAACTAAATTAAGGTTACTAACAAAGTATATTAAGGAAGCCTGCAAGAAAGGTGAAGAGGGAATTTTAACAAGGGTGTGAAGTGAGAGGGCAAGGGGAAATGGCCTTCAACTCACAGAGGATAGGTGCAGATTAGCTATTAGGAAGAAATTCTTTGTTGTGAGGGTGGTGAGACATTGGAACCGATTGTCAGGAGAAGTTGTGAATGCTGCATCCTTGGAAGTGTCCAAGTTCAGGTTCGATGGGGCTTAGAGCAAACTGACCTAGTGGAAGGTGTCCATGCCCATGACAGGGGGTTTAGAAGTTCTTCAGTACCCCTTGCATCCCAAACCATTCTGTGATTCTGCTTAAAATGCTGCATCCTGAGCATACCAGATGGGAAATACTGTGAGTTACTTTGATCAAATGTAAGTAACTTTTTCTTCTTTTCTTTTCTTTCTCACATTTCCCCTGTTCCTCTCTCTGGATTATGGCTGCACCTGTATGGACTCGTTACTGCAATGGTTGAAATTCATCTTTTTACTGGACTACTTCTGGATGTGTTCTCCTGATATCTTCAATCGTGAAAATGATGGAAATGTGTTGTTTACAAAGTAGCTGTAAGTATTACCTTGATGCAGATGTTTTACAGCTAATAGGAATAGAAGCAGCATTATGTTTTTAGTAGATGAACTAAAATTTAGCTTAGATAGCAGCTAGTTGAAAATCAGGAAGGGACGAAAATTAAGGGGAAGGTATCGTAAGCATTAGAAACATGAGATCTCATTTGGCACCATGTTGAAGACAGTGGAAGTCAACTCTTTTACAAAAAAAGTACTAAGTTCTTTTAAAAGCTATTGCAGGAATTAAAGAAACTCAATTCCTAATTTGTTTTGGTCTCTTTAGATGTGGCAAGTTATGAACAAAGGCAACCATTAAAAAACCAGTATGTTGAAATCTTCAGTTTTAATTGGTATACCAGAAATCTGAACCTGGCATCCAGCTGCAGTTTTTTAAAAGGCTCTTTCCCACTGAGGGCAAATGCTCACATTAAACACAACATTAATGCCCATTGTAACATTTCATACATCTTCCTCTTTCTGGTTACTACCATTTTTATTTCATTAACTAAAATTGTAGGTGTAATTAATGTAGACTCAATAAATCAAACAACCCAAAATTTGCCATCTATTCTTTTTTATCATTTCATACTCGGTGATCTAAAAGTTCATGGGAGTAAAACTATCTGAAGTGTGGAGCTCTTTAAAAAGGGAAAGGGAAGAGAAATAACTTTAGTTTAAAACAAAAATTATATGGAAACCCTTTTAATTAAATTTGCTTAAATTTTTTTAAGCAAAAGAATTAGCTTATGGCAGGGTGAGCTGTTTCTGGTAAGCATAACACACATTAAAAGGTATGTAGATACTAAAAAATGCAGGTGACTGACAAGAAGAACTATTAGGAGTGTGTGACTGTGATTAGATATTTCATATCTGGTAGGATGAATAGAGTTCCATGTCCTTAATGGTTACTAAAGACCTGCACTGTTAAGGAGCCCTTTAATATCTTAAACAGCACTGACCTGTGTGTCATGTAATATCTCTGAAGCATTGGCTCCAGCTCAGGGTTTCAGATTGTGATAAATTCCATTCCTTACATGTAGTAATAGATTGGAAAATGAAAACAAATATTTGGATTTTAAATTCCTGGCTGATTTTTAACATGCTTTAAAACCTTTCAGATGAGATTATAGCTGCACCAAAAGCTATATTGAAACAAAAGCTTCTTTAAAGGACTTCCTTGATAACACAGTGCAAAGATTCCTAAGTTTAGGGAAGTAATAATGTTTGTTGCGTTATGAGTATTGAAACTTGAGCCTCTAACTTAGTCTTTGCAATGGTGTAGTTTCATTTGAGATTATTAATAGTTTGTTTGCCAAATGGAGAAATCAGTTGGGCGACTTAAAACAGAGAGTTCATTTATTGACTAGTGCTGTTGGACTGCCAAGAAGTTAGTTCTTCTTGCATTCAGTACTTTAAAGGTGATAGTGGTTTTATAGCCTTGCTTCAGTTAAAGAAATATTTTTAATTTTAAAATTCTGAATTATTACTGCATTTAACTTATTCTGCCAGTTTTAGAAAGAAAAAATGTCAAAATAAATGAGTCAACCACATACCAAACTTGAATTAACTGTACTGTATCCCATACAGAGAAGTTCTGACCAGGAGTGACTGCAGTAGAAAATTTTTTTACAAATTATTTTTTAGTGTTCCTCTCTGCTCACAAAGATAATTTTAGGGAGTAGAATTTGAACTTGTAGACAGCACTTCAGCTCTGTGGGTATATACAGCCTCTCAAACCCTGAGAGTGAGGCAGTTCCACCGTCACATGACATCCTCTCAACTTTGCATGGACATAATGCCTAAAGACTGGAATCATTGCTCCATGACAAGCAGTGCCTTGTGTTGCATTTAGAAGACTGTTGTCTCAAAGTGTTTTGAGAATCTTTATAAAATATCTAAATTATCCAGTCTCACAAGACAATCCTCAGAGCTGCTGCGTTAATAAACAAACAGTTGTAGGATTGTGCTGGAAGAGTGGTGTAAAGGTAGCACAGTTGAGCTTTGAAAGATTGCTGGATCTAGTACAGTGAGGAGGAGGCATTTTAAGCACCTCCAGCATTTTCATTAATGTGGTGAGAAGAAGTAATGGCTAACATCCAGAATTCTTCTCTTGTTTCACAGTAGGCACTATTTTGGGTACAAGAGTACAAGGCAACTGTAGTTTTGCCTATATGGAAAATTTATGCAAGGTGTGCTGCATTAGTGTAAATCTGGGTTTACCATGAAGGCCTCCAGTTGAGTGACACAGAAGGAGAGGTGTCAAGTTGGTCCCCATCATGTTGAGGCAGTACCACCATGACTTGGAAGTATAGGAAGGGTGCATTCATACTGCTGGCCTGTGTTTCAAATGGGCATTGGTACCAAGCTGATCATGTTTTAATTTGTTTGCACATGCTCACTGTTGTGTTTGTACAAACAGTCATAATATGGCAATTGCATTTGCCCAAAATACTCCTAGTATGCCTGTGTTTCTGTGCCAGTTCTTTGGCCATCTAGTCAAAACAAATTTTTTTTTGCAATTTTTTTCTGTAGTCATTATACTGTCTTGAATGTAGACAGCTTGGGTTGTTGAGAGGTTGGGTAGATAGCACTTTTCTACAAAGGTCAAAATGAAGTGAACATTTCAATAACTAAGAAGACAAGCCAATTAAGAAATTACTTGCTTTCCTTTTAACTTTTTTTTTCCTAAATATCTCTTGCTTTAGCAACAGAAGAACCTTGAAGGATATGTGGGGTTTGCAAATCTTCCAAATCAAGTTTACCGAAAGTCTGTGAAGAGAGGATTTGAGTTCACGCTCATGGTAGTAGGTAAGTTTCTTTCTTTGTTTTGAACGTTGATAGTTAGAAGTATTTTGATGTAGTTCTTAAAATCTGTGATGGTGATGTAAGTATATTTTGCATGATCTCAGGAGAAAACATGGATCTTCTACTGCTGGACTGATAAATTTAGGTTGGTTAAAAAGAACATATCTGGTCCACAAGTTAATGAGGAGACAAATAAATGATGAGAAGTGGATAGTTCATATGATCTTCTAAGGAAAACAGTTTGGTGTGGATCTGGTCTAAAATGCTACTTGCAAGTATGACTGAAGTAATTTGAACTTGATTTTCATTTGAATAAAAAAGAAATTTTTATGGTTGAGTGCAACACGGCAAACCTTGTACATAACCAGGCAATAGGATCCTGTCTATCCTGCACTTCTGTGGCCACAAAACTATGCTGCAAAATCAAAGCTTTAATTTAAACAAACCTTTCTAGTTTTTGTATGGTTGCAAAGAAAACCAAATGTAAACAGTTTGTTCCCTGTGGACTACAGTAAATGGGAAATTATTGTTAGTTTGAATGAATAATTCCATTCAGAACAGTTCATTTAGTCTTCAGTCATGACCCAAATTTGTCATCTTTCCTGCTAGGGAATCTCATTTCTTTTTTTTTTTTTTTTTGTCTCACTCTTGAGTACTTTTATCATAATAGACTGTTACTAAAGTTGGTTACATTGGTGTGTAACTGATGCTACTGGATATGTGACCCTGTTTTGGCATGCTAATCAGAAAAATAATAATAATAGTTTAGAAATGTTTTATAATAGCCATCTGTCACTTTGTTATCTAGTTCTATCATATGTAATTTGGCTAGCTTGATAGTGCTTTGTTTTGTCATCAACACAATGGATTTCTTGAGCAGGCTTTATGTGCATGTAGCATGTAACATAACAGTACTATTGACAGAGTTAGAAATCAAGGGCAAATTGGTGCAAACTCATTGCATATATATATCATCTATGTTTTTCTTTTGATTACAAAAGTGAGCTAGAATTTTTCAAATTTGAGGGTTGTTTTTTTCTTTTGGAACTTGATGGCTGGTTCCTTTATAGTCTAGCATCCAAGTACATAATTATTTAGTACAAAACTGTTAAGTCTAAAGTAAAATTGGTTTTCTGCTATCTGCTGGTAATAAAAAGGAGGAAGGGATGAAATTGTCCTCATAAGTGGTAGATGTAGGATTGTGATACAACTGGAGAAAGGCTGCAAAATTGCCTCAATGTTCTCTTGTTTCCTGGTAGTATAGTTTAAAGCAATTACATTTAGGAAAGCTGTAGAAGATGGAAGACTCTCAAGAAGAAAAATTGGTTCAAAATTAGATTGAAAATGAGATGTTGACTAGTTTTCTTATTTTTGTGCTTACTACTAAGACTTCATTTGTTTGCATGGAAATATGTGCCACTGTCTGGAAGCTTACTAGGAGAGGTGGCAGTATTTTCCTAAATTAAAAATGCCTCTGATTCTATTCTTTTGACTCCCAAGTATAGAAATCAGATACTTGATAGTGAGTGTTTAAACAAAATGATGGCTGATCTTTCAGTGTTCTGGGGACATTTGGGGAGGGGTGGGGTAGAGAAATTATTTTGTTTCAAAGTTGAGTGCCTGGTAATAGTATGCCCTGAAAAAATGTGTTTGTTTTTAAATATGAAGATGAAATCATTTGTGTATTACTGATCACTTGTGTTGGTAAACACTGTAATGCAATCTGCAAGTAAATTGTTAGGATTGTAATTATTTGTTGCTGTATTCATCCTGTGAGGTAGTGTACTGTAACTTGGTTTGAGGTCTTTAGCTGACATAATGATACAAATCTGTAATAGTAAATGGAATTATCTATAATCTACTTGGTAAAGTTTAAAAGTTAGAATGTAGTATTTATCTGTGTATGGTTAATGCTGGAAAAATAAGAATACTGGATGTATTATCTCTTGGAGATTATCTAAAATATTCTTTTGCTCTTTCGACTATTAAGAGTCATGTGTGCATGGCTACATTTTACTGCAGATTGCACAACTACTGATTTGCTGACTGCTTTGTTTGGAGATAGTCAGTGTCAGTGTGTTACCCATTTGTTCTGAAAGGCAAAAAGAAAAACAATGCTTGTGGTTACTAAACAGGTACAACAAAGAAAACAAATCATATCTGGGATCCATGTCCAGCTATTTTCAGGTGTCCATGAAGTTTGATATCACAGCTAAGGCATTTGTGTAGAAACTGTTTTCCTGTTGTACATTAGTGTGGAATTACCAGTTAGACTTAATAGATGTGCATAGTGTTGTATATGGCTTTTTTGTCTTTGGAATGTGTAGTATGAAAATTGACCAGTGTTTGGGGGGAATGTAACACTATGGTTGTACTATTGTGTGTGCTTCTACTGCTGTAGAAACAATTCTGTTTTCAGTTTAACAGTGTAAGATTTTTGTGATTGAGCAAGTAGTAAGTACAGCACCAAACAGATCTGATGTTTCACTAAGAATTTTGCAGGGAAGTAGATTAATTTTGCTGAACATTTCCTGTGCCTGAAGTGTGAATGCGAGTACAGAAAATGCATATTTCCCCAGTTATTATTGCCCTGGAATGATGGAGCTGCCCATAGCAGTGTGTGGTGGCTTCCTGCTCTTCTTTGTGCCAGTGAAGTTGGACAGTGGGGTTGCATAAGGCTGAGTAGTTGTTGAAAAGCCTAGAGAATGGTTTCTGGAGCAGGTTTTCTCCTCCTGAGCTAAGTTGGTTGGTGGCATTGGTTTGGACCCATGTGGACAGTTTTCTGTCTGTAACTTGCTTTTTTGAGTCAGGACGTGGTAGGATTGATGTATCTGATACTTATAATGTTAGTGAGCTGTTTTCTGTAAAGTATAGCTGCTGATTTCCAGGTGTTATGGTGTTTACATTAAACACAACTAATGGGTGAAGTAATTATGAACTGCACACATACAAGTATAAAAAGAGGATGTCAAAATAACTTTTTTATATCAAATGTTTTAAGAATCATTGAAAAGTAAACTTTAATAGAAACTGGTGTTATTCTATAATATTTAGCCATAATACACATTTTGACATTTCTATTTCTGTTTCTTTTCTCCAAATTGTATTGATTTTTTTGTTAGTGTTTATAAACTTTTTTGAGAAACTGAAGACTGAGAAAGCCCTTTGTTTTCCTTATTAATCGGTTTTCATTGATTTGTCTTTCATCTTCATGAGAATTTCATATTAGTTATATTCTCAAAGCAGTAGTTTTCATCATGCTGCTTCTGCAGCAAGTTGATTTTGCAGAGTAAAAACTCACAAGCACCTCCTCTGAGGATATGACATAAAGTGAGCAGAAATACACATTTAACTGAGCTCCATTCTTGATGCTTTCAAAGTAAGACATATAAGTAGTGGTTTAAAGCAACTGATTCTACATCTGAAGCATTAAAGCTCAGCAGTGGAAAAAATGTCAAGTTTGCCTTGGTAGCCTGCTTCCTTCATAATCTTGTGTAATCTCTTCAAGTATAAGACATTTATTGAAACACTTGAGAACCCGACATAAATATTTAGTCTGTCTGAAATCCAAGAGAATTCTCTGTACTTCTCTGCTGTATGGGTTTTTTTGGACTAAAGTATATGTTTAAGTCAGATGCTTAAAAAAAGAAAACTTCCAGAAGTAATACCACTGTGGTTAGTAACTCACAATTAAAGAAAGTCTTAAGTGTGGAATTGTAGTTCTGTCTGTTTGTTAATATAATTACACTTGCTTAAGTAGTGGGTGTGTGTTTTTGCTTTAGTGTATGTGAGGTGTGGAACAAATAGTTATTTTTCAGTGTGTCTTCCTTCTAAACACTGAGTCAGGAAATCCCTCTTTTGTTGTATTGAAATGACGCTGGTAACGGGATTTAAACCAACACCCAAGTAGATGCAAAGTCATGATTCTTAAAAATTCCTTTCTTCTATAGACCTTATGTACTTAAGAACATGTGTTTGTGGTAACTTTTTGCTAGAGCTGTATATTTCAAAGTGTTCAGGCTTCATGAGTCGCATTAGAAGTTGGACTTTCAAGTTTGGGGGGTTTTTAAGTCATCTGATTTCCAAATTACAGAACACTTAGAGTTGAGTGGTTTCCACAAGACCTTTCTAGTTCTTGAGCAACTGTTTGGTAGCTTTGATTTTGAAAGCTGTTTTGAAACCTCTCCCATAGTAAATTGCCTGTTTTGTTTCCAAATTGTTCCTTTAGCCTTGTAGATCACCTGTAGATTACAACTGGAAGGAAAATGCCATGCAATATTGTTGGAGTCCTTCATTTGTAATTATATGCACACTCAAGGGGTTTGTTTAAACATGGTTTTTTGGCATGGATGCAAAGAGAAGGACTGTATTTTGTAAGACTTGAAGTTACATTAAAGAAGCAGCACACCCTGATTATAAAATGCTTTTATTGTTCACTGAAGAAAGCTTGGACCAGTTTAATACTTGTATCTTCTGATCATGTTCTGATTGAAATTACCCCTTTCACTTGTTCCCTTTCTGAAGCAATTTATTTATCAAACCAGTCAGTGGTACTAAGACACTTAGCTACTCACAGATTAAAGATACTCTTTACTTGCTGTCAGTTTCAATGCCAGGAACAAAATCATTTATCACAGGATAGGAAGAATAATTAAATGAAAAGTAACCTGTGTGTGGGCAGTGCAACTAAGTAGGAGGAGTTTTGGGATGTTGCCAGTTCTTGTTGATCTGCTGTGATTTGAAATGCTCCTAGTTAAGGTTTCAGTCGTGTCTCTACCACAGTATCTGAGTAGGTGTTTGGCCTTTGGTGTGACCTTCATTGCCTGGCTGCTGAGGATCCTGCACTGCCATTGCTGAGTGTGCAGTGCCTGGTGCATGTGGTCAGGGGAGTGCAGGACTGGGGTAGAGTCCTGTTGTTTTTACAAAGAAGAAGCACTTGATGGAAAAGAACTAGCAAGATTTCGTGCAAGTATCCTGCCTCCATTCCCCCTGAAAGTTCTTTC